AAGTGATTCTCCTGCCTCAGCCTCCTGAGTAGCTGTGACTACAGGTGCCCGCCACCATGCCTGGCTAATTTTTGTATTTTTAATAGAGACAAGGTTTCACCATGTTGGCCAGGCTGGTCTCGAACTGATGACCTCAAGTGGTGTGCCCGCCTTGGCCTTCCAAAATGATAGGGTACAGACAAGAGGCACCGTGCCTGGCCAAAGATCAGGTTCTGCTATATCTGGAACATATTTCTGGGTACTTCTTCCAGGAGGAGGGAGGATGGACCTATGGAGGGATGGACCTCTATAGCCTTATCCCTAGTCACGTTTTGTCATGGAGCGAGGCACTTGATTTTGGTACTCACATTGCAGCTGGCGATCACGCCATCACCCCCAGCACAGATCATACAGGTTTTCACAGTGCTGCCCCACCAGCCAGAGCTGGAGCAGGTGGCATAGTCCACAACCAGCAACCGGCACTGCTTCAGGACATCAGGAAGAGTGCCGTTGGCTGAATGAGATCAGAAAGAAGGCATTAGGGATGCAAGGACTCCTGAGAAAAAGGAAGTGGTTTACCCCTACTGGGTTCCCCTGTTACAGTCTTCCATCGATTGCAATATGCGAACAGCTATGTTTGTCTATACTGTGTCCTCAGGGTTGATTGGTTCAGCAGTGAACACCTGACTCAAGCTAAGCCAATGAGCTCCCTCCCTTGGGATCCTGAGATGGGGTCTAAGAGATTCCGGTTTCAGAGGACGTAAATCTGGGAAGCTTTTGGCAATGACTGAAGTTTTGTTTTATGTGGAGAATGAAGTAGACTCGCAAGGAAAAGAAATTACAAGGGAGGGTTTCCTGAGTTTCTTACAGGCTTCCAGTCCCTGATTCTAGCCTGTTCCTGATGCCTGGCTATATCTTGGCCCTTAGGTTGAAACTTTTAAATCCTTGTAACAATCCCTTTTTTCGCTGAGCTAACTCCATGGCTTTCTTCACTTAACTGAAATAGGAAAGTGAGCCTCCTGGCAGTTAGTGCCGCCTCCTTGGGGAAAATATGCTGGTGTGGTTAAGGGAGGGCTTTCATAATGGCCCCCAATGACACAGCCACCATCCCCTCCATTACTGTTACCACAGCTATGAGTGGCAAGGATGAGCTTCACATAATTCTTCACTATTGATTGAAGCCTAGGGAAGTTAAGTGTCGTCCAGGCACAGTGGCTCACCCTCTAATCCCAGCACTTAGGGAGGCCAAGGTGGGCGGATCCTTTGAGGTCAAGAGTTTGAGACCAGCCTGATCAACATGGTGAAATCCTGTATCTACTAAAATACAAAAAGTAGCTGTGCATGTTGGCACATGCCTATAATTCCAGCTACTTGGAAGGCTGAGGCAGGAGAATTGCTTGAGCTTGGGAGGCATAGGTTGCAGTGAACCAAGATTGCACCACTGCACTCCAGCCAGGTCAACAGAGCAAGACTCTGTCTCAAAAAAAAAAAAAAAGGAAGTTAAGGTTCTGGCTTAAGATCACTAATAAGTAATTAACACTTGTATAACATGTTGCAGTGTAGGAAGCATTTTTACCTTTCACCTCTTTTGGTCTTCACCAAC